GATTTTCTATATATATATATGGTGCATATAATGAGGATCGAACTCACTATTCAGTCCTATATATTTAGCGAGACAAGGTTACTAACCATTACATCACGCTTTAAGTGCCCAAGATGTGGTATTGCCGAATATATGAGGTACCGAGTGAGGATCGAACTCACTTTCAGTCCTTTTTGTTTTCTTTTTTTTTTTTCTTTACACCACGCTAAATTCACAAACCTTGACAGTGAATAATCCGCTAAACATATAAAACCAACATTAACTAGATATTTAAATTTCTCTTTTGCTTGCCTTTTCAATTCATAGCTCGACTCTTTTTTTTTCCTACTTTTTAAGACCCATAATGGTCATTAAATGTTTCACATTAGACAGGTTTTGTAAATTTGTCCAAATAAAACTTCCTTTAGTCTTGAGGATTTTTAAGGCGGTTTATTTAAATTAATGAAATTTCTATCTACATTTTATTTATGTTAATGACTATTCGTCTTCATCATTGTTGTTGCTATCACCAAAGATCGATTTTTTATAATGATTTTTTCCAGATCGGTTCCCTTCGTCTATCAAAATGGGGCCCGCATTGATATGATAATTTCTTTCTGAATTCCAAAATGAGGAGTTAGCATTTATTTATATTCGGACTTTTGGCCTCTTTCTTGTGGTTAAATCAAATATAAACAGTGTAGTTAACGATGACTCCAAATCCAAAAATTAAAATTTAAAAATGCTGGCTTTTTTTTCCTGCCCTTTTTTCCAGGCTTGCGTGCCAAATAACGTAGAAACAACAATTCCTATTTACCACCAAAGTTCAAACATCGAGCCTGCTCAATACCTAGATGAGTGACCGCTTGGGAACATCAGGTGCTGTATGGTTTGATTTGTATGGGGCCTCAAAACATAATATGTCGGAATTATGGATCGGAGAGCCAAGCACCAATTCCAGTTGCGTTCTTTATATTCATTATCATCATCATCATCATCATCATCATCATCATCACCTTGACTTTTTTGTAATCGTGAGTGGGGGTGGTTGGATCCAAATCCAGAAGATATATTGAATCTTCTCAAGCATATTAATCAGCTGTATCCATCAGCAATTCAGGTAGAGTCCTACTTTTTTTATATTAAATTGACTTCACTTACCTTTGGGAAAAGTATGAATCCACTTCTTCTCCACCCAGCTATTGGTAAATTAGTATCACTAGAACAATATTATCCTAAAAAAAAAGAATAAAATTGCGTACAAGATCCCGACATTATACAACCCTAAAGGTTAATTTTCACGCCGTGAAACAGAAAAAAATTTTTGAAAATTTATTTCGTTTTATTCTTTTATTTAT